ATGAACAACTTTTCAAATTCAAAATATTTTTGGAGTTCATGAACTTTTTTCAAATGCATGAATCCTTTTCAAATTTGTGAACATTTTTGAGTTTACGAACATTTTTGTAAACTCCTGAAAAAACATTCAATATTTTATTTTTTATTTCCTAGCATCTTTTCAAGTTTCCAAAAAAAAATCTGTTCGTGAACATTTTTTCCAAACTCCTGAAGATTTTTCGTATTTGAGAATGTATTTTATTTCTGAATATTTTTTAAGATTTGTGAACATTTTCCAAACTCCTGAAAAGAATTAAAAATTTGAGAATATTTTTCTTTAATTTGCATAAATAAATAAATAAATCAGTTCACGATCATTTTTTCCAAACTCCAGAAGATTTTTGGTATTTGAGAATATATTTTATTACCGAGTTTCTTTTTCAAATTTGCAATAAAAAAATCAGTTCACGATCATTTTTCCAAACTCCTGAAGATTTTTCGTATTTGAAAATATATTTTATTTCCGAGCTTTTTTCAAATTTGCAAAAAGAAAAATCTGTTCATGCGCAGACCGTCCTGTAGCGACCCGGCGATGCAGCAACCATATAGTAGTGCAGCAAAAAAGTACTGCAGCGGACATTTTTATCAAAAGTTTTGAGACAATTTTGGAAAATGAGAACAATTTTGGAAATTTTGAATACAGTATGAAAAGACAATTCCCTTTTAAAATTACGAATCATTTTCCAAAAATACTGAATTATTTATAAAATTTTATGAACACTTTTTTCAAAAACAATAACAAAATTTGAAATTTCAATGTTTTTTGAAAACATGAACAAAATTTGAAATCCTTATTATTTTTGATTTTTTTGAAGATTTCTTGGGAAAACACGAGCAACTTTTCCAAATGTGATTTCTAAAATTACAAACATTTATTTAAAGCACGAATATAATTTGGAATAGCGAGAATTTTCTGAAAACACAATTTTTTAAAAAATTTCAGTTTTTAACAAGAACATTTTATAAAAGGAAACATTTTTTAAAACCAGTCATTCTTTAGAAAATGTGAATATATTTAGTTTTTGATTTTATCAAAAATAAAAGAAAAAGTAGAGAAAATAAAAAAGAAAAAGACAAAAATTGTAAATGCCAATAAAGAAAACTCAAAAAACGAAACCCAGTTCGAGAACCTTTTTGATAGTTTCCAAAACTGGTCGGAAACTTTCCAAAAGGTTCCCAAAACCTGATCCTGTATTTCATTCTCTTCTACAAAAGGTCTGGCCCATATCTCGGCTGCCTGGTCGACACTTTGACGCAACACACATCATATAGGAAGAGAGCTCCTATTTGCCGGCCGTGGGCGGCAAATGGTTGAGCAATCGCAGAAGGCGGAACGAATGGGCCGGCCCATTAGGAGGTAAACGAGCTCCAGACAAGTAAAATAATAATAATCGAACACGAGACCTCTCTCTCGTGTACGAGTGCTACTAACCGATCAATCTGGTAACTTCTAGTGGTAGATTAGAGGCGAGGTAATTTAAGTATAGTATTCTTTTGAATTTTTTTTGAGAAATATACACCAAACATTTGTAATATCCATTGAACATTTTCTCAATAGATGTTGAAGATTTTCAATAATGCACGGTTGCACACCGAACTTTCTTGTGTGATACGATGAACCATTTTATAATATACGATGAACATTTTTCTAATTTGATATGCGTTGAACAACTTTTGAATACGCATTGAACATGTTGTAAAAATATGTTGAACAATTTCATAATATACGATGAACATTTTTGTAAAACACGATGATCATTTTTATAATGCAAGGTGAGCTATTTCACAATATATGATAGAATTTTTTTCTTAATACGATGAATTTTTTTGTAATACGCGGTGAAGTTTTTATATAAATCACAACAAAGAGAATAAAAGAAAAAAGGAACATAAAAGAAAATTGATAGAAAAAGGAACCAAAACAGAAAAAAAAAGAGGAACAAGACAACTGGAAACCTCAAAAAATATGAAAAACTAGCAGCAAAAAACTACGAAAAAAAAGAAACCCACAGCGAAGGAAAACAGCACACGAAATTCGTGCATTAGCCGGCTCAAGTGGACTCGCTTCAGCGAAGCCGTGGCTCCTTGACGCACACGCGCGTCAAATATGATCGACCATATAGCAAACTAGATGATACCCCGCACATTGTTGTGAGAATGTTTTGAAATATATTCAGTGTGAATTGGTTGTATGAAACATGAATATGTATAGTCATAATACGAGAACAAAAACTTAAAAAAATGATTTGTGGTGTTTGGTTATTAATTGTACAATATAAATATATAATCAGTGAGAATTGCTTGTATGAAATATGAATATGCATAGTAATAATATGAGAACTGAAATAAAAAATGATTTGTGGTGTTTGGTTATTAAATGTATAATATACATATGATAATAGTATGAGACATTTACATCTATGCCCCTAACTCATTCTCACTACTCAGATTTGCCCTTTAATTTCGAAGGGTGCTTAAATTTGCTCCTCGATCACCAGTTTCACTTATAGAAATACTCCTCCATGTCGTTTCCGTTCAGTCAAGGCTGTTTGACTGCTAACTGGCTGCCAGTTTGACATATTTGCCCCTCCGTCCTTACATGTGGGCCCAAACTTACCTGTTCACTGCACTCTCTCTCTCTCTCTCTCTCATTCTCTCGCTTGACCCGCACGCTCTCTCTTCCCCCAAATCGCAGCGGAACCCTAACCCTAGAGCCTTCGATCTCCGACAAGCAAAGCTCCAGATCAATGGCCGCCGTGGTGGAGATTCCATTGTTCTGACTCTGTGTGATGCTGTGCCGCGGATAGGACACAACTGCTGCGGATGGAGGGCGACGATGGTTGTGGCGGCGGTGACCAACAAGGGAACACAACGCCAACGATGGACGCTCTGATTGGGTAAGTGCCTTCCTTTCAGATCTGAAGCATGTTCTTCGTTCTGTTTAGTTCTTGTAGTTGGATTTGTTGGTTACTGCGTTCGTAGTGCTCATTTGGTTCGTTTTATTTTTCCTGTTTTCCATGGTTATCTGTAGGGTAGAACATATTTGTCTGGATTGTAGAATGCAAATGACATTGCTAGTTCCCGCCAGTACATTTTTTAATTCATGAACACTTTTTAAATTCACCAACATTTTTTAGTTTGTGAACTTTTTATCATTTTTTGAGTTGTGATCTTTTTTCAAATTCATGAACAATTTTTCAAATTCAAAATCCAATATTTTTGAGTTTACAAACATTTTTGCAAACTCCTGAAAAAAATTCAATATTTGATTTTTTATTTCCTAGCATCTTTTCAAGCTTCCAAAATAAATCTGTTCATGAACATTTTTTCCAAACTCCTGAAGATTTTTCGTATTTGAGAATGTATTTTATTTCTGAATTTTTGTTAAGATTTGCGAACATTTCCCAAACTCCTGAAAAGAATTCAAAATTTGAGAATATTTTATTTCTGAGTTTGTTTTTCAAATTTGCAAAAATATATAAATAAATCAGTGCACGATCATTTTTTCCAAACTCCAGAAGATTTTTTGGTATTTGAGAATATATTTTATTTCCGAGCTTTTTTCAAATTTGCAATAAAAAATCAGTTCACGATCATTTTTCCAAACTCCTGAAGATTTTTCGTATTTGAGAATATATTTTATTTCCGTGCTTTTTTTCAAATTTGCCAAAAAAATCTGTTTACGATCATTTGTTCAAACTCCCGAAGATTTTTTGTACTTGAGAATATATTTTGTTTCCGAACATTTTTCCAAACTCCTAAAAAATTTCAAAATTTCAGAATATTTTTTATTTCCGAGTATTTTCTCAAATAAAAAAAACAGTTCGCGAACATTTTGCCAAACTCCTGAATATTTTTCGTATTTGAGAATATATTTTATTTCTGAACATTTTTCATATTGGCGACCATTTTTCAGGTCACAGACATTGTTCTAAGCTCCTGAAGATTTTCCGTATTTGATAATTTTTTTAATTTCCAAGCAGTTTTTTAATTTACGAACGTTTTTAAAAATCATGCCCATTTGTTCAAATCGGTTAGAAATGTGACTATTTTTTAGGCTAGCCGGCCCACCTAAGGAGTGACGTGAGAGATGTAGTTTCAGGATCGTCACTTTTCGGGTGCACCAAACGACTCAAGGGTTTGATTTGGACCGGAAATGATGAAGTCAGTGTGCCAACGACCAGGATTGGGAGTTGAGGGTTTGATTTAGCTAACAGAATGGATTTTTTCCTAAATAAAATCTTGGAAAGTTACTCTTTGCCATGCTAAGGCTGGTCACAGTGAGGAGGACTTAGGAGTAACATCACACACTCCAATACAATTTGCTTATGTGACACGTATTCAATGAAGAGAGAGGTGCTTGTGGTAACTAGCTAAGTTACCAGAACATCACACACTCCAATAAACAATGAGTCTATAACCTAATAAATACATTGTTGTATGACACTACATAGATGTTCCTACCCACTATGAGGCTGGTCATAGTGGAGAGTAACTTAGACTAGTAACATGCATATGTTACTAGTCTATGTTACTACCTTCATAGTGGGTAGTATCATATATGTGGTAACATAGATGTCTTTATTTATTATTCTGTAGACTCATTTTGCATTGGAAAGCGCTATGTGAGGTTACTCTATTTGCCTCTTTCCTCATTAACTACTTGCCACCTTATCATTTTTGCTTATGTGGCATCTAAGTTACTACCTATGTTACTCCCAGTATGAGCAGCCTGAGGTAGTAACATAATCTAGAAAAGTGTGTAAGTTACTAGCTTATGTTCTTACCCATTGTGACCAGCCTAATAAAACTCGCCACATTATAACTCCCTAAAAAAAAACTTGCCACATTGACCGCCTCACCACTGCATCCAGACGTCGCAGCTGAATTGGCCACGTGCCATCCGCCCACGTCGGCACAAATAGAGCGACGGCCGGCATCCCTTTTCCGCTCCGCGCCCATATGCCTCTGCCCCGACCCTTGTCGCTTTCCCCTTCGCCTCACTCCTACAGTCCTACTAAAACTCAAGGCGCGCACGCCGAACGCACGGCCACCGCCACTGCCCGAGTCTCCTTTCCTCCTCTCCCACCCCACGCCGCGCGCGCCCGAGCGACCCCCATGGAGTCCCTGCTTGCGGCGCTCCCGGCCGGCGGAGGAGGCGCGGTCGCTGCCGCTGCCGCGGCCGTCGGCGGGCTGGCCGCGGCTGCGGCGCTCGCCGCCAAGGCCGGCGTCGTCGGGACGGGCCGCACCAACGCGCCCCCAGGTGAAGACCCTCCCACCCAATATCGTCTAAATGCATCATGTTTTCTCCCATGTTGTATGTATGCTCGTATACATGTAGCAGAGCGTGCCATACTTGGGCTTTTTATGCCACAATTTTCCTTAGGTTCCTGTAGGATATTCTTGAATTATTTGTATGTGTTCAGGTACAGTAGATGTTTATCAAGTGAGAATTGATCCTCACCGTGGAAATCATGCACATGTAGAAGTTTATAAACTTTTATTAAAAATATATACAGCTTGTCGTAAGTCCATAAAACTTCAAGATCAAGCTCAACCAAATTTACAAGATCTAAGATTTTTTTTTCTTATTGTCAAATATTGGTTTTGAATTCTTATAGGCTTCTGGATAAGCATGATCACCTCTTCCAAATAAGTGATCTGCGAATTTAGACATTTTGAATCTTAAGCAATTAATGCTTATACATGCTTCTTTCTTATTCTGGGCAAAACCTTTAAATACTTGCTATATCTTTTATCTTTTATTATCTCCATTCGTAGATGTATGAAAGCGTGCAGTCAAACTTCTGCAATTTTGTAACAAAACGGGATTGCTAAATCTCTGTCTACTAAGACTTAACCAAGTCTCAGTCGATGTTATATTTGTAAGATCTTACATGAAGTTCCGTGCAAAATTTCTTTTAAATTTTTTCTTTTATCTTTTTATAGGTTCTATCACTTGACTAAGACTTGGTTAAGTCTTAATCGACTAAGATCTAGCCACACCCTATACTAATATTAAAAACTGGCTGTAAGGCTGGAACAGTATTTTTAGATTTGTGATGAAAGATAATTCCATAATATAATTGTTTTAACTCTATACTAATATATACATATAAAAAATAACGGTTAAAGGTGTATGCTGGAAATCCTGTCAATGTCCAAAACGACATCCATTTATGAACGAAGGAACTATTTTTTGTTTATTTCTTTTGCAGATTTATGCACAAGTCATTTGGAAAATAACACCTTGCTAGCTTTTCATGACCAACTCCCTAGACATAAGAACATGTCAACATGAAGAATCTTTTACTTCCCACCATTCCAAGAAGATCCCTTTTTTTCTAATCCAATTTCCAAGCCCCTTTTGGTCCCCATGCATGGGCTGTGAGCAGTCCGGTTGGCACTTTCACATGGAAAAGTGCTCCATAAGCTCAAAGATGGAAAGCTACACAATTGATTGAAAAGAAGCAATGAGATGTTACTGTCATAAATGATAGGTTCACTTATAGCTATATTCCTGAGCTGTCTACAGCTGTGAACTTTTACTATTTTTATTAAAACAAGAGAAAACAAATCCGCCCGATAGAAACAACTTGAGACGTTTTCTCATTTTCATGTGCTTTTATGCAAGCACTCGACCGCCCCGTTTGGAATAACTAAAAGGAATTCCCCGACTCCTACGGAACACATACTGTTCTGAACTTTTGCAAATTCGTGTGATATATATGTCCTCTCCAAAATAAATGTGATATATGCATATACATGTTCAGCAAACAATTTATTTTATTTGGGCGGGAGGGGGGTATGAAATGGAATGCTTCTCTTGACTGTCACAGTTTCTGTCGGTTCCTATTTACTTTTGGCCTGGAGAGTGAAGTTCCCGGATAGCAACTGGTTAAAACAACGAGTTGAGAGGTTCCTCTCTCAGTCACAGTAGATTTCGAAATCATGCTTATCAAACACATCTGATAATAGCTACTCCCTCCGATCCAAAATAAGTGTCATGGAACTAAAACCACGACACTTATTTTGGATCGGACGGGGTATTTGACAAGGCATGTTCCCTGCTATATGACAGCACAATTGCTTTATACGTGTTATGCATAGGACGCACAAATCAATTACTATTTGTTTTATATCAAATGGCAGCTACTGTAGGTATGAAACAGGAGCATTCTGAACAGAAGTAGTTTTACCGCAATATATTGTTCTAAACAGTAATTTTACCAAATTCTGGAAGCAATAATTGCTATATCGAAAATTTGACGGTTATATTGTCCTAGATACTACATGCTGACCCTTACTAGTGACGCGGATTATTCTAGTGTTCAACAATCACCTTCTTTTGATACTAGCTTATTTAAGTCTGCATGACCTCCCAGTAAAGTTATGCCTGCTAGAATAATCAACGACACACTTTATATATGCTGTATCATTGTATGATTGTAACGCCTTCTGACAATACTTACTGAAAATACCTAAGAAAAAGAGAGAAAACAGTTACCTACTTAATTTATTTGCATGAATATAATTTTTAATCATATATGCAGATGAATTGTCGAACTGGCTTGTTTCAAATATAAGTTCGGCCCTTCAAATTAATACTGCTAATTCTACTGCAAGGAAAAACTAAACTCTCCTCTGGTTAATTTAATTGTCATACAGCTGTTCCTGGTTTACCTCTTATTGGAAATCTGCACCAGTTAAAAGAGAAGAAGCCCCATAAGACCTTCGCAAAATGGTCTGATATTTACGGGCCAATATACACCATAAAGACTGGGGCTTCATCAGTAGCTGTGCTCAACTCTTCTGAAGTAGCCAAGGAGGTAATAAAGCCGTCTTTTTTTTTTTTCATAATTCACTTGTTAATGTACTTTTAGGTTCTACTACAAAATATCACCTTTTGCACTTTTGGGTAATTGTGGCAACTTGGGCTTTAGTCTTCTGACTGATTTTTGGCATTTACTCTGTATGCTTTTGTTGGCATTATCTCAGCGAATTTTCTTTTAAATGGAAAATATAATAATTCAAACCTAGATACAAGAGTTCTTTTTTCACCCCAGTAATTTAACTTCAAAGCTTATATAATCATTATTTTTACCTCTCTTTTTCTCATGCTAGAGACAAACCAAGGATTCTAACGAGCTTTTTAAAAAACAGAGGATTCAAACAAGTTATGAACTGACCTTTTTCTCCCAAGAACTACCCGGAAACAATTATTAAGCTACAAGGTAGCCCAGATTAATACACAAAATACGCATACAGTTCTTGATTTATGCTCTGATGCAAAATTGAGAAATGATAGAAGCATTGCACAAATGTGTCACACTTGACCAGAACATCTATTCTTTTCTCAATATGCAGGCTATGGTTGTGAAATACTCATCCATTTCTACTCGAAAGCTACCTAAAGCATTGTCAGTGCTGACTCGTGATAAAACGATGGTTGCTACAAGTGACTACGGTGACTTCCACAAAATGGTCAAGCGTTTAGTTATGTCGGGCATGTTGGGCTCTTCTGCTCAGGTACAAGTCTTAACACTTAGGAAATTATACAGTTCAGTGGCCACCACTTGCATATGTTTACACATTCAGTTAATTAACGTTTCATGGTGAAATGGTTGCAAAATGTGTAGAGACAATTTAGGGACACAAGAGACATGATGATGGACAACATGTTAAGCACTTTCCATACGTTGGTGACCGACGACCCATATTGTCCTCTGAACTTCAGAGAAGTTTTCAAGAACGAGCTGTTCCGCCTGTCCTTGATCCAGGTAAGTCTACAAGCTTCATAATAGTGTGCTCATCCATTGTGACGCTCCTATCAGTTTCTTGATTTGAATCAGTCTTCAGATGCTTCATTTATTATATGCGATAATGAGAGTGCACACTACAATTACAGAGTTTAGGCGAGGATGTGGGTTCAGTTTATGTGAAGGAGTTTGGGAGGGAGATATCGAAGGATGAAATCTACCAGATCACCGTGGTTGACATGATGATGTGTGCAATCGATGTTGATTGGAGGGATTTTTTCCCATACCTCAGCTGGATCCCAAACAAGGGCTTCGAAACAAGAGTTCGTACCACAGAATCTAGACGAACTGTGGTAATGCAAGCCTTGATCCATCAACAGAAAAAGAGAATTGCGAATGGCGAGGTAGCACCAATGCACATAGCTTGTAAACTGTTTTATTCTGATGCAGTTCTCCTATGTGTTAATTTGATCATCTTGATGCAATAAAATACAGGCCAGGGCATCCTATCTGGACTTCTTGCTGGCAGAGAAGGCACTGACAGAGGAACAGTTGATGATGCTGGTGTGGGAGGCAGTCATCGAGGCTGCAGATACTACTTTGGTGACTACCGAGTGGGCAATGTACGAGCTTGCTAAAAACCCAGAAAAACAGGCGAGTTTCCCACTCTGCTGTGGTTTGATCTAGTCTTCTCTTGCCGGAACCAAATTGTTAACAGAAATGTTCGGTTCACATCAGGATCGACTCTACCAAGAGATCCGGGACGTATGCGGTGATGAGACAGTCACCGAGGATCATGTTCCATGGCTGCGGTACCTCAGCGCCGTGTTCCATGAGACGCTCAGGCTCCATTCTCCTGTCCCATTGGTGCCTCCAAGGTTCGTCCATGAGACCACCAAACTAGCCGGCTACAACGTCCCAGCCGGCACTGAGGTAATTGGCAACACTAATAATTAATGGCGCAAGAAGTTTCGGCTGCTGGCCGTGGGTCTCTGAAAAAAACTGCTCAATTGTTCCAGATAGTCATCAACCTGTACGGGTGTAACATGAACAAGAAGGACTGGGAAGAACCCGAGGAGTGGAGGCCGGAGAGGTTCATGGACGAGAGGTTCGAGGCCGCGGACATGTACAAGACCATGGCGTTCGGCGCCGGGAGGAGGTCCTGCGCCGGGAGCCTGCAGGCCACGACCATCTCGTGCGCCGCCATGGCGCGCTTCGTGCAGGACTTCGCCTGGAGGCTCAAGGAGGGCGACGAGGACAAGGTGGACACCGTGCAGCTCACCAGCTACAAGCTCCACCCCCTGTACGTGTATCTCTCGCCGAGAGGGAGGAAGTGAATTAATGGCGGCTTTGGTTTGGTAATGAGGTGCTGGATTTGCTTTTTACAAACTTGGCCAAACTAGATGGCAGCATGATACAGGTTTATAACGTCTAATGGTTTGCCTGAACAATTTGTTCGTGTCTTCAGTTCGCATGTAGTTAGCTGTTTTTTAAATTTTGTGATGCTGAAGATAAATCTCTCTCTGCCTGGGTATTCTAAGATGCATCCAACACAAATTGTTACAGCCATTGCAATATTACTAAACAGTACAACGGAGCGACCATCGAGCCACGACAGCGCTTTGCTGTTCACAGCCGTTAGATTGTACTGTTGTACGTCCTAGATTGTCAAGTCATCCCGCTGATCGACGCTGTAACTTTACAACCGTGCCACTCCATATGTTCGTCCAGCCCAATATTCTTGGGTTGCTGCTCCGAAGAACGACCTGGGAGCCGTCACGTGAACTGGGCCTATTTTGACCACATAAGCCGCTGTGCTCTGTAAAGCCTGATTTCGTTGCCGCACTGTGGAGGTGCGTATTGTTACTTCCTTTTGCTTCGTTTCTTTCATCTGGACTTCGGTTATCTCTTGCCTACTAGGGTTGATTTTGCGGCTGACCGCCCTCCTCTTTCATCGATGATGTTTTGTCACTGTCGTCGTATTACTTAGCCAGCTAACTTGTCGCCCAATGGTGCGAATTGCTCTATTGGAATTGGATTTGGCATCAGGCCGAAAAATGTTGCGGCTTCTCAAAGTGCTACTCCCGGCCTTAATCTGTCTCCACAATCTGATTGGTTTTGATCCATTCTGCTTTGTTTTCTCTTGGTCTGTAGGTTGTGTCAGGATCAGGGGCTGCGCATGGACACCTCCAGACGAGTTTCATGCTGCTCCATGCCTCCATGGGAAGTTGATGCAGGTGGATCGCAAAATCCAACCCCGGCCTCGCAACAAAGAGGATAAAGCACCGATCACACTTTAAATATTGTCAAATAGTGCTTTTCGGTCGTACTCAAAGAGTGCTTTTCCTTTGTGTCACTTTTGATAGTATGTTAGATTTTTTCCCCCTTAGGCTTCCACTGAAATTCAAGAACTGCCTTACTGGACCTGTCTTAGATATTTTTCTTAAGTTTGAACTGAAAATTTTGTACTGCTCCCTTTGGTAAATTTAAGAACTATCTTGCTAAAGTTTTATTATGGTGCCGAAGAGTTAACATGTAGCTATTTTACAGAAAATGCATGTTCGATACTACAAAGATACCAAAGAGGAAACAATCAATCAAGAGACAACGAGTGTTGTACTACATGTTGATCAATAAAAAATCAGAATGAATCTAGAGCCGTATTGCATTGGCACAAGTAATCCTGATACCAAACACGAGCAAATAATGGAGTTTTGACTTCAGCTTATTATGCTGGAGATGACTTATTTTCGTTTTTACTGTTGTCGTTCACCAAGGTCTCTGAACAACCACTTTACTGAGGTCGACGGTAGAAGACTGAAATATTTTATTACTTCCTCCGTCCGGAATTACTTGTCACGAAAATGAATGAAAATGGATATATTTAGAATTAAAATACATCTAAATACATCCATTTTCCCGACAGGTATTTCCGGACGGAGGGAGTATTTCTTAGGTAAAATATATTATTTAGAGATACTTGTGCCATTTATAACTTTTCAAATATTTTGCATGTCTTAAATAGATGAGGGCAACAACACGTGCTTTTATGTTCTTGAGCGGCTGTGTAGACCTTTTTTTCTACTGCTCACACCGGGTCATTTTCACCTCTAGATAGAAATTGTGCTACATACTTGGATACACCCATACACATGCAAATTGTACTTTATTTTTTCAACCAAAAAATCAGAAGCAATAAAACTTCCCATCAATTTCGGACAATAGATACAACCCATGTGGCTTTTTTAATAATCATATTTCAACCCTGTATAATGGTACTAATCATGTACGTACTACATTCTTACTGTATCTATATTCGTACACAATTAGATCATGTCATCAAACACGGACACTGCATGACCGTTAGGGCATCTCCATTCTTTCGCCCCCCAGGGGTTTGAAATAGCGCCGTCTGGGGGCGCGTCGGCGAAAAAATTGGCATGGGGCGGTTGGTTTCCCAACCGCCGCCCCAGACGCCGTTTCTTGAAAACTAAACTCGGCCGAAATTCGGCCAGACGGAACACAAATTGGTGTAGTCGTCGTCGCTGCCGTTCTGCGTGCCACCGCCGTCCCTGCTACACCCCTGACCAGCGTTGCCGAAGCATGGACGGCCCGGGCGCCTCCTCGTCGTTGTCGTCGACGATGACGACGCCGCCCTCCTCGCGTCCGCGGAGCCTAGCGGCGATCTCCTCGAGGGCGCGGCGCCGGCACGCCATCTCCTCGCGGACGTAGTCCTCCCGCGCCCATTTGAGGGCGGTCTCGTCGGCGGCCATGGCCTCGTGCTCCTTCTTGACGGGGAGCAGCCCCGGTCAGTCTTTGGCTTGACGAGGCGGGAAGAGGGAGGAGAGGGGCCACAGTCACCCTCGTTGATGACGAGGGTGCCGCCGCGGGTGGCGGCGCCTGAGCGGCGTCTCCTGTGGCTCCGGCTTGACGGGGCGTAGCGCCGGCGACCCGGAGGAAAGGGAGCCCGATGACGAGGTGGTGGCCGTCTCCATTCGCTGCGGCGTCCAGGAGCTATCGCGGCGGCGATAGAAGGAGGGGGCACCGGGTACTCCAGGCGCGGCGTGTTGGCGGCCTCGATGTACTTGAGGACAACCTCGAGGGTGCGGCTGGGGACGCCCCACCATTGGCGCCGCCCGTCGGAGTTGAGGCGGCCGCGGGGCTCGACGCCGTTGATTGAGGCGAGCTGCTCCTCGTGGCGCCGGTCGAAGTACGCCGTCCACAACGTGTTGCTTTCGGGGGCGTACCTCGGCTGGTTCTGCGCCTGCTCCGGCAGTGAAGACCGGATGCACGCGATTTTGGCGCGCCGATTAGCTCCGGTGGGCGCTGGAGGCACCGGGCCGCCGTCGCCGCTGAGCCTCTAGGAGCCCGGCACCCGCATGTCCGGCGGTGCCGGGTAGTTGGCCTCGTAGAGGAGGCGTGCCTCGTCTTCATGCAGGATGCGGCGGCCGAAGCCATTGGCCGCCGCACCATCACCTAGGTAGCACTCGGCCATGCTCGTCGTTGGGGGGATAGAGGAGAGACACGCGTCGGCGGTGAGAGGTCGAGAGGGGCGAGAGGATTCTTTGGCGATGGAGTGTGCGCTCATCGGCGAGGGAGGGGCGGCTTTTATAACCATGCATGGGCGGCGAGAGGGCGGCCGCCGTGTGTACGCATGGCGGGACGCGCGTTGCTGCGCCTTCACTGTGTCGCCCATGAGGTATCAATGGAAGGCTGACCGGCGCGACAGCCTTGGCATTGATTCTCCGCAGGAAACCGAGGCGATGAGGACGACGAACGCGGCCGGTCGCTGACTCGGCGGGCCCGCCAGGCTTTCGCGCCATAACTGTTTCCCCCGGCACCGGGTTCAGCATGGGTCTGCCGCGCCAAATTCGGCCCTAACCGGTGAAAAGTGGGCTTCTGGGGACGCGACTGGACCGATTTTTCAACGCCGGCGATAAAAAAAGGCCTTGGGGGTGGGGGGAGCTTGTTGGGGGCGCGGCTGGAGATGCTCTTAGCTCTTGTACCCTGATGTATGCCGTTGTAGTAAAGACCATGACCGCATTGTTTTTGATAAATGACGCTTTTATTAACTTAAAATATAGAATAAAACAGATACAATTATGATGAGCAACACATGGCATCTGGCATCTGCATATTTAGGATGCACATAGCCAAAACACGAACAGTTTGACGAAAGAAAAGAAAACCGACATATCGGCAAACATCATGATGAGCAACAGTAAAGTCATATACGACCGACATTAGAGCATCTCCAGCCGCGCCCCCAACAGGCCCTCCCCAGGCGTTTTTTCTGCGCCGACGCCGAAAAAATGCCTCAGTCGCGCCCCCACGACGCTGAATTCCGCCGGCTCGGCCCGTTTTTGCGCCCGTCGATCGCAGGCCGAACCCGGCGCACTGGGGGCGCTCGGGGGCTCCGGCGCAAGGGAAAAGCGTTCCTGGGGACACATTGTCAGGCGAAAAGTCAAGCCACCCATCTAGATTTGCCTCCGACCCCCCGCGCTCGGCCGCCACCCTGCGCCACCATGCCGATCTCGACGCCGTCCACTGCCCACCGTAGCTAGGTAGATCATTTCCCGCCGGGAAAAAGAAGAGGTTTCGCCGAGGCAGCCTCTCCGCCGCCGTCCGAGCAACTTTTCCGGCGTTCCGGCCACTTAGGGCCTGTACACCGGCAGGTTTGCGCCCACCTCGCCCGCAAGGTGTTCGGTGATTTGCCCGGCCCGGCGATGGACTCCGAAGATGAGGAGGCGCTCGCGGCGTTGCTGGAGGAGGAAGCCGAAGCCGACGTCCAGGAGCAGGAGCATCTCATGGTGCTCGCCACCCTCACCGGCCTGCTCGCGAGCAGTGAAAAGCCACGGCGAGGTGGCTCGGCACCTGGGTGGGTGAAAGCAAAGAACCGACATCGTCTAGAAGGCTACTGCATGCTCTACTCCGACTACTTCGCCGCCGCTCCATTGCACGGTGAGAAAACATTTTGGCGCCGTTATCCAATGAGCCGAAAGCTTTTCCTCAGGATTGTGAATTCCATCCGGGAGTTCGACAGCTACTTCAAGTGCAAGATGGATTGCACCGGCACACTTGGATTCACTTCAATCCAGAAGTGCACGACAACTATGAGGATGCTTGCATACGGAGCTCCCGGTGATTCACTCGACGACTATGGGCGCATGGTCGAGTCCACCACCATTGAGTGTTTATACAAGTTCTATAGGGCAGTGGTGGCAGTGTTTGGACCACAATACTTGCGAACACCCAGTGCAGAAGACACTGCTCGGATCCTAGCACAGAATGCAGCAAGAGGATTTCTTGGGATGCTTGGAAGCATCGACTGCATGCA